AGATGGAGGTGTCAGAGATTCAATGCAATTCTAGACTTTGCGAAACTTTTAAACTCACCGCAGAATTTTACAAGGTGTTCGATAAATCACAGTTTACAAACTTAACAGATATCGCTGTTCGAATAAAATCTGTGTATAATAATACATATATTTATGAGCAAGAATTTTCAATAATGAAATTGCTCAAAACCCAGCAGAGAATTTCATTAAGAAAACAAAATGTGATAAATAGTTCTCCGGATCCCGAGATTCTGATTTTACCAACTTGCTGGAATCGCTAATTAAAAGGGAATACGCTCAGAAAAATAAAAATTCTAATAAAAAGTAGCAAAATATATTTTAAAATTTATTTATGTAAATCACGCCTAATCGTATTCCACCTGTAAAGAGTAAAAGCGTTCAGGGTGACTCTACAAAGTGCTCTCTTATGGCGAGGTGCGTGGAGGGGCAATTTGGTAGTGCTACCCGTGCCATGCACTCCCGCCGGTGGTAGTGACCTTGACGTCACTGACCTAATGATCTCTCATGTAGTCAACAGCGCTTCGCGTCCCGGATAGCATTCTGGTGATCTGTATACAGTATGGGACGAAATTGGACAATTAAAAAAAACATTTTTCTAGAGGAATGAATTCTTCTGAGGACAAACTATAAAGAAATTATTTATTGTTAATATTTTGATAAATACGCTAGTGTGATTGTTTCATTCTGAAATTACTCATCTGTATGTGTTAAGATTAATCTCGATAATTCGCGAATTGGCTGGTTCATGTGCACTTAATTCAAAATGGATGGATAAAGTACAAAGTACGAGCCACAGAATAATACTTCGAACGTTAGCCGGATTAAGTGTACATTAGCCAATATGAGGTGGCCAAGTTAAGTGAAGTACGTTATGGTGTCCAGGTATAACACATATAGAATGTGATAAATAGGAATAAGGCTGCTGATTGGAAATTTGTTACGTTTGTAAGACTTAGAGTTGCGACTTCCTCCGTCGTAGATTTCTCTACCGCCTAACCTTACTTAACATTACTGTACTACTTAATTGACGTTTCGCCACTCTTGTTCAAATTGGGGCCAGAAAGCTCCAGCCTTCGGTAATTTATATAAAACAACCATGGAACAACACTGAATAACGCATTATAACTAAAAACTGTGCCCCCATTGTTGTCTATTTTACTCACAAGAAAGTGCACAAAACATTTCAAACACTGTCAGTAACATTTCGTTATCTAGTACCCTGTGGGTAATGTACCCTTGGGGGATGATGTCCGAGAAGATCCTTTCATTATCATTCAAATAGTGTATCCAAACCGTCTGGTTATTGTACGAATTACTCGACAATTCTTAACGACCACCATTTTTCGGACTTAAATCGCCGTATTTCGGACTTACTCTAATACTGCACATCAGATATTGCTCCTGATTGGCAGGCAAAGAAATGAGCCCTGGATGTTTCGTATGTCCCGTTCTGACGCACTCAAAGACATTTCGCGTACCGTGTACAACGGTTTCTCCCAGCGTACAGCGGTTTTTCCTTAAATTTGCTCGAATACTTTTTGCTCAACGAAGAAAACACAGGATAATCACGCTCGCAAACGTTGTCCAGGTGACCCAAACCGTTTGTTATAGGAAGTTCCCGTCGAGTATGCAATCTGGGATGCATTTAATGCTATCATAGTGTAGCATCGTGCCAATCGGGATGCTATCATAGTGTAGCATCGTGCAAATCGGCGAAGCATCGCCGGATGTTAAACAAAGGGCGGAGTGATGACGGACTGGGACTTTCCGTGGATGCAGCGGGTCCAGAGCGGCTTTGGGGAGGAGGCAATGTGGGCGGCGGGTAGAGCCAAAATGGCCTATATCCAAAGAGCGGGTAGAGGCGGGTAGAGCCAAAAGGGCCAAAAGGGCGTCGGCGACAGGTGAAGCGGTGTCTGTGCGTGTAGTGCGTGTAGGGCGAGGGGCCGGCAATTCATTGTCGTGACTTGCGAGACGCGTAGTTGGTCTCAAAGTAGAACGGCTTCATACAGGGAACATCGGTGGTATGTTGAGGTGTGATAGCTGTTCTTAAATTCTCTCTCCTTGTAGTGGGTCTATTTATTTAGTTTATTGTGAGCAGGGTAGCTGTTAAATTGGGAATACGGTCTAGATTGTTAATAAATCTACTGTTTTACAAACCACTCTCCTCTGTGTTCGATTACACCCGTATGACGCCACAATGTGGTCATTTCACTCAATCTTGGGTGTTAGCAACCATGATCGTAACGAACATGCTCGGGCAGGACTGAACAGCAGGCATGCTGTGGGCGAGGTGGATTGGGTAGGGATAAGAAGGGATGGGGTCGGACCAGTGCAAGAAGGAAATACGATAGAGACATGGTGCAAAGCAAGACTGAAGAGGTAAAAAGGGCAACAAGGCGGGAATGGGCGACGAAGATAAAAACAACTTCCATTTTATACAGTGGGGAGAAAAACAATGTTTTACGGACTAAGAGTATCTACAAGTTTCATTTCGACGAACGACTTGAGTGTGTAACAAACGCACGCACGCACGCACAAATTCTAGAAACCAAGAACAGAAACCTCAATCCGCATGCACGCGTGCACTAAACTCCAAAGAGTTCGTCAAAAGGAAACGTGAAAATTGTGTATTGTACGTTGTGATCAACACTAGGGCAATGCTGGATTCTTGAGCTAGTACTTACTGAATGTGAGCTTGCAGGGACCTTGGCCAGTGACTGGTAGCAGCAGGATGCGACCAGTCATCTCATACTGCGACACTAAACTCACGTTCTGAATAGCACCTTTGAAGTTCAGCGAATACTTCTTCAAATCAATACTGTGAACAAAGCGAAGTATATGTTGAACTGAATTAAGTTATTTTTCTCAGAAAGTAAATGCAGCAGGTCATTGAATTTTATTTTTTTCTTGGTATGCATCTCTCTTTTTCTTTTTCTCTCCCAATGTCTCTCCTTCCCTCTCCCTCTCTCTCTTTCTCTCTATATCTCACAATCTCCATCGCATCCTCTTCCTACTCCTCTAATTATCAGGAACTATATTTAGAAGCTTGTAATCTTGCTGAAGAGAGAAAGCTTGAGAAAGCTTCTAATAAGAAAATTGATTTAGTGAGTTGAAACTATAACGCATGTAAATTAGATCGTGGGATGAAATCTTGTAACTCATTACATTTAATTTAACTAGGAACTCACTACTTTAATGCACATTTTCAATTTATTTAAATAATTTTTACTCATTAATTTACTTGAAAGAGTAATGTGTCACTGGTAAATACTCACGAAACAATTAAATATTGTGCAAATTCGTTAAAAAATTAAAGAGGGAAAAAATACAGAGAAAGATGCTAGAGCATATTTTAGAAATAGAAAACTTCTTTAGACCAGGAATTAATATTCACTGGAAATTCTACGTAATATATTTTTAACTTTTAACCGCGATGAACAAGTTATTACTGACTTTTTACTAATTTGCAAACGTTTCATTCATGAACTTCGTTTTATAGTGAAGTGAAACACACATTGACAATAAATATCTATCAAAGCATTTAAACTTTTCTGATGATATCACAAGTTCTGATTCTAAGAAGATTTTTGCTTTAATGGTCTTAGTTCAGGTAGACCTATGTAGCTTCAATTAATTAAATATTTACTTACTCTGCTTTATGAACTTGAGCATCGCTGAGCCCCGTCACAGTTATATCAGAAAATTTTATATTAATAGAAATGGGTCCATGACCTTGGCCGATGTTGATAGTCGTCACTTTGAGAGGATCTATAGATGGAACATTAATAGATGGAATTCCTGTAAAGAATAAGTAATTACATTTAACTGAAAATTTATATAGGCAATTTTAAAAAAATATTAATTTGGTGCATTGCAATCTTTTGTATTAGTAATGACATGCGTTAGATGTTTTAATCCATGGCGATTAGTTTTATAATTAAGAATATAACTTATACAGAGCAGCACAACACAAAGTATTTGAAAAGACTTAAATGAAGATATAATTCTGGGAAATAAAATACTTTAAATTTCTTTCTTTTTACTTTATTGCAATCGCTACAGCGGTATGTAATGTTGGGCAAAAAAATGGGAAATTTTCCGCAGAAAAACTCTTATTACAAAGCCCTGGTAACAGAAAAAATGGATGAATCTCTTGCTAAATTTAGCAAAAATCCTCTAACACGTGATGTAGCCAGAATCCATGTTTTGTGGGTCCTTAATACCGAGAAATTGTCGGTAAAACGTCTGTTCCTCCGTCCGTCTCTTTCTGTCTTTGAAGAACGCTAGCGGCTAAATCGTTCAGCCGATTTTCTCCAAAATTGATATTCCCCAATCGATTGACTGGTGGGAGACAATGAAAGTGAAAGAGACAGAGAGGGAGAGAAAGGCGGAAACAGAGACAGATAGGCACGGAGGAACACACGGATAGGGTCAGAGAGACGGCGACAGAGAGGTGGAGGCACAGAGAGACGGAGGCACAGGTACGGAGATAGAGACAGACGGAGACAGTTTTTCATAATTAATTCTATATTTGAAAAAAAAGTCAAAATTGAATAGTTTTCCGGAAGTCTTCTTACAAATGCAAAATTGAAGATAGAGATTTTTCCTACGAATGAAATTTGTTCTCCATAGTGAGTTCTATCATTTACATCATGTACATTTTTAAAAATTACTAGTTTTCACGCAATATTGCGAGCAATATGAACAATTTCAAAAAATAGAAAAAAACAGATTTTCTCAAAAACGACTATAATTTTTTTCTTTAAACTTGTGGTAGGGGTTGATAAGATGACATACACCCCGTATTGCTCTATTCATTTGTTTTTTTTAATACAAAAATTTAATTTTTGACTGATCTCTCACGTCGTTAATATTTGCATTAGCGGCGATTTCCTTACATTACTGTATTTATGAGTACATGTGCTTTACATAATGTGCGATAGATTTTCCTGAAAACTCAACAGTTTTCTGTGAAATTGAGCTCAAAATTCCGCATTTTCACAAACACTCAAACATCATTTTCTCAAAAATGCTTCCAAATGTTTCTTCAAACTTTCCAACAGACAGTACTACTTGCACTGTCTTAGATAACATAGGATTAATTCTGCTGTATTCATTTGTTTTTTCTAAAATTACACAAATGCAATATTTTAAGATTTCTCACGCCTTTCATATGGTCATTTCCAGAAATTTGTGAATAGTATTGCATTTGTGACTGCTAGTGCTTGAAATGTCATATGAAGTTTTTCGAAAACTCAATAGTTTTCTGTTAAAAAAGTTTAACACTTGGAATTTAGAGTAGTGCTTAAATACTATTGTCTATAAAACGGCTCCAATTTTTTCAATGAAAATTGTAATTTGGGACGAGGTATTACTGTTCTTTAATATTTTTAAAGTAATAATTCGATTCTTCTATAAGGAAGATGAAAAATTAAGAAAATCTCAAAAAAATATACTTTGCATGGCGATAGATGGCAGCTGGTAAGAGTATGTGGCAAGTCCGAATAGCTTGCCGAGACCAATGAAAATCAAAAAAACAATACAGGAAAGTCTGTGCCATTCCGTTGCACCACTAGTTTCTGTTTTCGATAGTGTGTTCAAAAATGTTTTGAGAAAGGATTAATTATATTTACACTCCTCGTCATGCATAGTAGCAAATCTAGCGCTATTAGTTTGCGTGAATAATTGAGTTTATTTACAGAAAGGTTTTAAAATTACTAATTATTCTTAATGAACCTACCATCTTTTAGCTGAGGTAAAACAACATGTGCTGCTTTTTCAATGCATTCATTTAATTTCGGATCCGTTTTCTTGCACAGTGGATACGATTCGGCTGAAACATGAGAAAAATCCAAATCAAATAAAGTAATTACTTGCTCATGCAAATACACACTATGATTCATAATACCTTTTATGTTCATAAATGTCTTGTTATGCGTTTAAATCTTAATTTTTCACCCTGTTATTTTAATTGTCTATTTAACAGATATTTCTTGCATTGCACTGCATCTTTTGTTTTGACATTTAGAACATATTAAAATACTTATATAAATCAATACGTTAATATAGAAATCAATATTTTAACAAGAGGAGATATTTCTGTTTTGTTTTTCCCCCAACCTCAACGTTGGATACTCACCCGACAGCCGTTTACCCTTTACCTGCCGATGGGACGCGTTTTCGACCATACACTAGACTCCAAAACATTTGCGGGCATCTCTTTATCTGGTGTCAGCAGAACGCCAGACCCTCCGCGTTAACACATACATGAGAGACAAACGACAAACAACCATGCCCAGGGCAGTGCTCAAACTCGCGACCCTTCGGACCAAAGTGCTGAGTCAGTACCCGCTCTTAACCACCCTGATCAGCTAGGTTGGCTGTTTGTTTTCGAAACATGAATTATCGGAATCCGATATTGGTCGGGACACAAACTTCGACTGAGCTTTAGGTTACGGATCGTCATGATATTAAGGAAAATATAGGGTTGTGATAATTTATATATTGGATTTAAATAGGATTTTAATCAAGGGATTTTTTTAAATCTTTGATTTGTATTAAAATTTGTTTCATTTTCTTTAAATATTTCCTATAAATCTTGAATAGAGAAAGTTATGTATTCCATTATGTCTCTCAGTTTGTTCACCTGATTCAGAACTAAAACAAGCGCATAAACTGTACTCATTATTTTCTCCAAAATGGACATTCTTCAAGCAATGGAGATTAAGGTGCGGTCGGAGTTAGAAAACGTTCGGCAATAAGAATTGAAATAAAATAGGTTGGAAATTATGCGATAGACAGACGCAATTGATGGTTTATGTTAATCGTGTAGCACAAGCCCGGAAACTCGCCATTAAATTCCAGGGTCTTGAGCGGGAGAGATGTCTTAGGGCGTCACTGCAGTTCCTCTGACCGGGAGGTCTTAGGTTATAGTTCTGACGGTGGCAGGTTTTTCGACACTGACTTGTTAGCTTGGTCGAATTCAGTCGCTGTCTAGAGGAGAATTCTAGCCGCCAGCTGCGCGGATCGGTAGCTTTCCGTGGTTTCTCTGATCAACACCAGACGAATGCGAGAGCAGTACCCTATCAAACGGACCGCACACGATCTTTCCTATGAAGTCCTTGTCCTATCCTCTCCCCTCACACATGCACATACACATATACCTATACATATACATATACATATACATATACATATACATATACATATACATATACATATACATATACATACAATACATACTCTACCACTAACGCGCACTACACTACCACACATGCCGGGAGACCGGTTGGGAGCTTAGAGCTTGTCCAGGCTGGGGCGGTTCCCCGCTGGTGGGAGATACATGGTTGGTCGGCAATAAGAGTTTTTCTGCGTAAATTCGCCGCTTTTGACCGAAGCTTTACATAACTTTCTCTCTACTCCGTAAGCGGTAGCTGGAATGTAAAAAATAATAATACGATCCTCCTGCGGCCGCGATAGCTGTTGCCAGTGCGGCGCTGTTAAAGCAACAATTACGAATTCGACCTCAACGTGTTCAGTTTTCGTGCACATCCTGCTTACGGCTTTGCCGCAAGTGTTAGTGGCAGTCAGATGAGCGGACAAACGTTTTACGTTTTTTAATTTTTTTTTTATTTTTCGATATCGAGTACCCAGAAAACATTGTTTCTGACTACACATAGTGTGAGAGGGAGCAATATATTATTTATAGGTACAAGATATGTAGATTATATATAGAAATATCCTATATAATATCTACTTTTTCCTGAACGGGGCCCGGTAATAAGCGTTTTCTTTGGAAAATTCGCCGTTTTATACTGCAGGATTACAATACTTTCTCTGTATTGCATAAGCAGTAGCGAGAAAGTAAAAATTATAAAGAAAAGAATTCGAGTGACATACAGTTGAATTATATCAGTACCAAATGGCTCTTAGAAAGGTTTCTAAGAAAAACGCATTAATCTTAAAATTATAATATAACTTAGATGTGTTGATATTATTATTATTATTATTATTATTATTATTATTATTATTATTATTGTTATTATTATATTCTTGTAAAAAATTTTACTTACGACACTTTTTTTTTACTTTCTCGTACATATATTCAAGATATAGGGAAAATTATGTGATCCTGTGGAAAAAAATTTTAAGATTTCAACGGAAATAAAGTTTTGAAGTCCCCCGATACCAAAAAAATTGTTCTTTTCAAAACAACCGTTCGTCCGTATATCCGTTCATCTGTTCGTCCGTACATCTATCCGTCCGTCCATCTGTCCGTCTGTCCCTCTGTCTACCCGTCTGTCCCTCTACCCGTCTGCCCGTCCGTACGTCTGCCCATCCGTACGTCTGCCCGTCCGTACATCTGTCCGTCCGTCCGTCCATCTGTCCGTCCGCACTTCTCTTAGTTCTTCCGTTCGTCCGTCTGTCAGTCCGTCTGTCCGTCTGTCACTTTGTATGTCCGTCTGACCGTCTGTCTGTCTGT